TGGATGGATGGATGGATGGATGGATGGATGGATGGATGGATGGATGGCTGGATGGATGGATGGATGGATGGATGGATGGATGAACAGATGGATGACCTTGGTCAGGATGAAAACCAATAAAGTCGGTCTGTCAAAGCTCCAGTGTTCCTCTGTGGAGAGAGAAGAAGTTTCCAATCTAGCAGGTTGGGATCTATGGTCGGTGACCAAAGGAAAACTTCTCATTAGCCAAAGGAAGCAGCTGGTTTAGAGTTTGGCAGGTGGACACCATGAGAAACAACCATCTGCTCTGATGAGACAAAGTCTGGACTCACTGGTTTGAACATCAGGTGTGTTTGAAGGAAACCAGGCAGGAGACCATCCCTACAGAGGAGCACGGTGGTTCTAGGATCATGCTGAGGGGACATTTTCAATCAGGACAACTTAGAAACAGAAACATCCAGGATGGACTGATTACTGTTTACATAAACTAATGGGCATCATCCTTATTGTAAATAATCTGATTGCTCATTTCTTTAATCATAAAACATTATGATCCAAACCAATAAACTAAGATTCTATTTTAATGCTGGTGTTCAAACTTTCTGATGAATAATTGATCAGTTTATTCAGCATCTAGCTGCTACTTTTCTTCCTAAATACAATCAAAGCTGCTTTTCTCTGACTGTCAGCAACAATAAGAAGCTCGTCTGCTTCTTTCAAAGTAACTTTAAAAATAAAACTGTTTTAAATAATCCCAGTGATGCATACTTTATAATATTTCTGCATGTAAATAAACATGTCAGAAGAAGAGCTCAGTAAATGAAGGATAGAAACACAATAAACTTTCAGTTTATTAAAATCAATATTCCAGTTAGATTTTTAGTTTAGGATTTAGTTTTATCCTCTGTGTCCATCCTTCCTGCTCACATGTTTTTGATGAAACTGTTTTCTTGTTTCTCAACCACAGAACAATAAAAACAATAATTCTTCAACAGCTTTCCAAGCAGAGATAATTTAGCAACCAGCCACAATAACAAAAATGAGTAGATCATCAAAATCAAGTTTGCGAGACGCGTTTTCAAACCAACTAAAGATTGTCTGTTTTACAAGCATTCCACACAATAAAAGATTGATCTTCTCTGGGTCTAAAGTCACTATCTGTTTCAGCTCCATTATTTCTCCAAGGCTTCAGCGCTCTCTATCTAACGGCGCTCTGCTGAGACTTCATCCACAGAAAGCACACTCTTCTATTTCATGCTTGACAACCCTGTGAGGGGAATATCAATGTGCCACAATCAACTCTGCTGAGGGTTTCTATACACAACCGCACAGACGGACGGATACGGTGCAGCGCGCCATACAAAGATGGAGGCTTTTAACTCATTCCACACACGCCGCTTTATTTCTGCTCTGATTCCACCTTCTGATTAACAGATCACAGGACAATGGAGGAATAATTAGCTGGATGGGGGGGTGGCAATTAGTAAAACGCATTAAATCCATGTGACATCACGGATCGCACCGCGTACAGGAAGTTAAAACACATTAAATCCATGTGACATCACGGATCGCACCGCGTACAGGAAGTTAAAACACGTTAAATCCATGTGACATCACGGATCGCACCGCGTACAGGAAGTTAAAACATGTTAAATCCATGTGACATCACGGATCGCACCGCTACAGGAAGT